TTTTCACAAATGAGCAATACATGTACATTCTTATATCCCCTTTTATTACATGAAGAGCAGCTTACTAGAGATACTCAAGCATTTTGCTTTCTTCACTTACCAATATGGTCTGGAAATCATTCCATATCAATGAATAGACATTTTCCTAATTCTTTTTTACAGTTGCATAACGTCACTTTTTTATTTTTGAGATGGTCTTACCCTGTTACCCAGGCTGGAGTGCAGTGGAGCATTCATAGCTTACGGCAGCTTCAATCTCCTGGGCTCAAGTGACCCTCCTGTTTTAGCCTCCCATGTAGCTGGGACTAACAGCATGCATCACTACACCTGGTTAATTATTTTATGTTTTGTAGAGATGGGGTCTTATTTTGTTGACCAGGCTGGTGTTGAACTCCTGGGCTCAAGCAATCCTCTTGCCTCAGCCTCCCAAAGTGCCAGGATTACAGGTGTGAGGCACCACGCCAGTTCTTGTATTGCACTGAGTGGCTATACCACTGTTTATTCAGCCAGTCTCCTATGTATATGGATATTTAGTTTTTTCCCAATATTTTGCAATACAATCAATGCTGCAGTGTGAATAACCTTGTACATATGTATTTTCTTACTGTCGGAAGTGTATTTCCAGGGTAAATTCCCAAAGTGGGATTGCTAAATCAAAAAGCAAGTGTCTACATAGTTTTTTAGGTGTATCAGTGGTCTGTAAGACTGCCCCCAGGCTCTGCAATTCACCAGAAGCATTTATGGGCCTCAAAAGTTATTCTAGGGCCAGGTGCAGTGGCTCACACCTGTAATCCCAGCATTTTGGGAGGCCAAGGTGGGAGGATCACCTAAGATCAGGAGTTCAAGACCACCCTAGCCAATATGGTAAAACTCTATATCTACCAAAAATACAAAAATTAGCTGGGTGTGGTGGTATGCGCCTGTTGTCCCAGCTACTTGGGAGCCTGAGGCAGGAGCATTACTTGAACCTGGGAGGTGGAGGTTGAAGTGAGCCAAGTTCACACCACTGCACTCCAGCCTGGGGAACACGGCGAGACTTCATCTCAAAAAAAAAAAAAAAAAAAATGTTATTATACACACTGCTACAACTTATTACAACAAATGGGTACAATGCAGGGTCAATAAAGGGAAAAGGCACAGTGGGTGGAGTCTAGAGGATACTGGGTACAATCTTCCCATCTTCTCCCAATGAAAGTACATGGGATGCCCTTACTCCCCCAACAATGAACTGCAGCAACATGTGTGAAGTCTTTTCTGCCAGGGAATCTCCCTGAGCCTAAGAGCCCAGCACTGTTATTGGGGATTGAACGTGAAGCCACACAGTGCCTTCATGACTAAAACTTCCATGACTGAAACTGCATTGCCCAATTTCAGACCCCAAGAAGGAAAGATGTTCAACATAAGGCACAAGCTATCTAGACAAGCTGGTACAATGTGGTTCAAGGTTCCAAGCATGCCAAACACTCTTTTAAAACATGTTTTTAGAGATAAGGTCTTGCACACTGCAGCCTAAAACTCCTGGGCTCAAGCTATCAGGAGTGGCTCAACCTCCCAAGGGGCTAGGACTACAAGTGTACTCCACCATGCCTGGCTAATTTTTGTTTGTTTGTTTCTTTAGAGATGCGGGGTGGGTCTCGCTGTGTTGCCTAGGCGGGTCTTGAACTCCTGGCCTCAAGCAATTCTCCCCCCTCAGCCTCCCCAAATGCTGGGATTATAGGCATGAGCCACTGCACCTGGCCCCAAACACTCTTAATGGTAGCAGAGGGAACACTCCAAAAGTTCAATTCCAGAAGCCAGCCAAAGATTAATCACTCAAGTAGTCCTTTCTTAACATGTGCAAGACGTAAACAAATCAGGATGTCTGGGTTAATTCGTTCTTTAATATCAGGTATTACCGAATTGTCCTTCAGAAAGGTTGTGCCGGTTTGCATTCCCATCAGCAATGTACGAAAGAGCTTGTTTCCCCACAGCCTCATCAACAAAATGCGCCCATGTGATAGGTGAGAAACGTTATCACAGTATTGCTGTAATTAGCATTTCCGCAAATTTTGAGTGAGTTTGAATATTTTTTTATTGAATGGAATACTTTTACAAATTATATTTTCTAATTGTTTTGGGAGAAATGCAACTGACTTTTATATATTCACATTATATGCAGCTACCTTGCTAAGCTCTCCTATTGTTTCTAATTCTCAGTAGATTCTTTGGGGTTTTATTTTCTTTTCAATCTTTATGCCTTTAATTTCTCTTTCTTATCTCATTGCACTGGCTAGGGCCACCAGTATAATGTCAAATAAGTAATTGTGAGCATCTTTGTCTTCCCTCTGATTTTAAAAGGGATACTTTTAATGTTTCCTTTTTAGAATTTTTTTGTTGTTGGGGGGAGAGATAGTTTTTTTTGTTATTAAATCAAATAATTTCTCACTTTTCTTAGGATTTTTCTTTAAAAATCACAAATTGTTGAATTTTATCAAATGTGTTTTCTGCATCTATAAACATGATTATATGGTTTTCTCCATTGATCTGTTAAGTATTGATTTATTACTTGTATAAATATAAGTATTTATATATTATCTAGGCCAGGCGCAGTGGCTCAGGAGGCTGTAATCCCAGCACTTTGGGAAGCCAGGGCGGGCGGATCAGCTCGAGGTCTCGACAAACCTGGCCAACATGGTGAAACCCTGTCTCTACTAAAAAATACAAAAATTAGCCAGGTGTGGTGGCACATGCCTGTAATCCCAGCTACTCAAGAGGCTGAGGCAGGAGAATTGCATGAACCCAGGAGGCGGAGGTTGCAGTGAGCTGACATGATACCACTGCACTCCAGCCTGGGCAACAAGAGTGAGACTCTGTTTCAAAAAAAAAAGTATATATATATGTATATGTGTGTATATATATATATATATATTTTTTTTTTAAATATTTTCTAATAGTAAAACCATCTTTGCATTTCTGGTTAAAACTGTTTTTAACTGGCCGTGCATGGTGGCAGATTGCCAAGACAGGCAGATTGTTTGAGCTCAGGAGTTCCAGACCAACCTGGGCAACACAACAAGACCTCATCTCTACAAAAAATATAAAAATTAGCTGAGTGTGGTGGGTGCACCTGTAGTCTCAGCTACTCAAGGAGGCTGAGGTGGAAAGATTGCTTGCGCCTGGGAGGTCAAGGCTGCTGTGAGCCGAGATTGTGCCACCACATCCTAGCCTAGGTGACCAAGTGAGACACTGTCTCAAAGATAAAATAAAACTGCATTTACTGTGATATATTTTCTCTTAATGCACTATTAAATTTGATTTACTAACATTGTATTTAGAGTTTTTTGCATCCATTTTTATGAATGAAACGTATCTGTCATTTCCTTTTTGTACTGTAATTTTCTAGTTGTGCTATCAAAGTTAAAAATCTTTGGGAGCATATATCTTTGCCTATTCTCTGAAAAAAAATTAAATTGGACTTCCTTTGTTGGAAGATTTTTTACTTCTACTTTAATTTAGTCATTATAGAACTTTTAAGACTTTCTATTTATTCTTAAATCTGTTTTGAGTAATTTTGTTTTAGAAATTTAATTCACCTAAGTTTTTAAATTCATTGGCATAAAGTTGATGTTCATATCCAATTATATTTTCAGTCTTGCTATATCTATATATTCCTTTTTGCAGATATAAAAGACTTATTTGTATCTTCCGTCTTTTTTATTTTATTTTTTTACATAATTTCACTAAAGGTTTGTCTATCTTATTAATCTATGCAGGGAACTAATTTTGAACTTTGTTGATTCCTTTTCTTGTACTTTTGTTTCTAGTTCCTTTATTTTTTGTCTTAACTTTACTACCTTCTTCCTTTACTTTCTTTAGATTTATTCTTTTGTGTTTTTTCCCACTTATGACGGTTGTTTAGTTGATTAATTTTCAGTCTTTCTGATTTTTTATTATAAAGCACTTAAAGCTATAAACTTCCTACAAGTACCACTTTTTATACCACCCATAAGTTTTGATATGTTATGGTTCTTACTATCATTCATTTATAAATCTTTTTAAACTCCCACCATGATTTCTTCTTTAACTTTTTAACTTAAAAACATATGGAGCTATTGCTATCTCTATCATCTCTATATCTATCTTCATTCCATCCTCATGGGTTAGAAGACTCAATATTTTTCTTAAGATATAAATTCTTCTCCACTATCGATTCAATACAATCTCAATGATTGCATTTATTTAATACAATCAATATTTGAATTTGCTTACATTTTTCCCATTTTTACCACTCATTATTGCATCTCCGGCTGTCCTCCAGAGATCATTTTCCTTCTAGTCTTTATTTATTTAAATATGGAACACTTTACAAATTTGTGTGTCATCCTTGTGCAGAGGTCATGCTAATCTTCTCTACATCGTTCCAATTTTAGTATATGTGCTGCCAAAGCCAGCACCGTTTGTATCTTTTAAACGTTCGATCAAATCAGGTCTCTTGCTGTGTGTTCTCTCAATTTCTGATTATCTCTATAATTATCTTTATTTTACCCTAGTTCTTGACAGACAATTTTGCTGGGCATACAATTCTATGTGGTCTATAATTTTCCATCCAGGTTTTGAAAATATTCTTCGCCCTCCTGGTTTCCTTGTTGCTTGACTTTCATCTTCTTTTTTTGTTTTTTTGAGACAGGGTCTCTCTCTGTTACCCCGGCGGGAGTGCAGTGGCGTGATCATGGCTCACTGCAGCCTCAACCTCCCAGCCTCCTGAGTAGCTGCGACTACAGGCACATGCCACCAAGCCTGGCTAATTTTTTTTGTATATTCTTGTAGAGACGGGATTTCACTATATTGTCTAGGCTGGTCTTGAACCCCTGGGCTCAAGTGATCTACCTGCCTGCGCCTGCTTCTAACAGGAGACTGCTGAGGCTGTTCATTAGTCAGTGGCCTGTCTTCTCTCCAGCTGATTTTCAAGATCTTTTCTTTGTCATTGGTGCCCTGCAGCTTCACAGCAATGTGTCTAGCCATGGTTTGCTTTTTTATTTATCTTGCCTGAGATAAGTTGCGTTTCCTGGATCTAAGAATTTGTTTTAAAAGTTTTAGAAAACGTATTATTTTTATTTCATCTCCATTTTTCCTTGTGGAGTTCCAATTCGATACACGTTAAATCTTCTATCTACCAAGTCTCTTTACCTCTCTCTCGCATTTCAGCAGTTTATTCCAGTTCACTGATTCTTTGTGTCAAATCTGTTCAACTTTCCTCTTAGTGTTTTTATCTCAACATCAACTTGTCATTCAACAAGCTTTCATTTTTGAAAGTTCCTAATCTTCCTTCCAAAAGTGTCTGCTTTTTCCTGATTGTTGTTGTAAGTTCATTTTTGTAATTACAACCTTTAAATCCTTAAAAAGTTCATACAATAGCTGTTCTAAATTTTGTATCTGACAGTTTCAACATCTGCAGTCTAAAAGTCTGTGGTTTCTGGGTTCTGTTGACTCTTACAGAGGCTTGTCTTCTCAAGCTGTAATCTCTTTGTTTGATGTACATCCGTGAGAGTCTTGCAGAATCAACTTGAAGAAATTTTCCTTCAGAGAAGGCTCGCTTCTGCCTCTGCTCTAAGCCAAGGGGTGCCCCGCACCAGGAACTGTTACCCCTTCTGAGAGTTTTGGCTCAAAACAGAGTTTTAAGCTTAGTTTCCCCTCCTCGCTGCTGTTGCAAGGTAATATGCTCACAGTCAGTACTGCTCGCCTTCCTCCTTCCGCCCACCTGCCTTCCAGTTTGGCTCCATGCTGCACCACCTCACCACCGCACCAGCCTTGGCGCCCCGTCTCTGTGGCCTAGGCTTCCAGCCCCCACCTCGGGCCCAGCTCCTGGCCACTGCCGATGCAGATCTTTGTTTCATTTTGAAGAAAAGGTCCCTGGAGACCTCTCCTACCTTTTGCCAGACCATTGGTGTCTCAGTGTGTGTGTAAACAAGAAGTCTGAGTTATGGGGAAGTTGTAGGAGAGTTCCTCAGAATTAGTCAGACCTTCATGACAACAGAAGCACAGCATTTTCTAAAACATTAAAAATCTTAATGACACTAAAACTCCAGGATGGTTGGGCCAGTGGGGAATAAATCATGTTAACTAAGAAAGCAAGGGAGGGAGCTACTGAGAATATCAAGGTTGGAATCCATATTGCTTCCAGCCAGAGGCCAGTTCCTGGTCGGTGGCTCCCATGCTGGTCTCCGATGTTCAGGAAGTGGTGTCAGCAGAGACTGAGCTGCACCCTTTCTTTGGACAGATGGCAGGAGAAGAGAACGTCAAGGAAGAGCTCAGATCCCAGGATGCTTCCAGCAACTTGAACCAGCATGAGGCAGCAGGGCATCCACATTCCTGGTCTCTGGAGATGCTGTTACACAGACTGAGGGCTGACCACACCAAGCAGGATGACAAGTTTGCCAACCTCCTGGATGCGGTGGGGGAGTTTGGCACATTCCAGCAGAGGCTAGTGGCCCTCACCTTTATCCCCAGCATCATGTCAGCCTTCTTCATGTTTGCTGACCACTTCGTGTTCACAGCCCAAAAGCCCTATTGCAACACCAGCTGGATCCTGGCAGTGGGCCCCAACCTGTCTGAAGCTGAGCAGCTGAATCTGACCATACCCCGAGGACCCAATGGCAGTTTCCTGATGTGCCTCATGTACCTTCCTGTGCCTTGGAATCTGGATTCTATCATCCACTTTGGCCTCAACGACACAGACAAATGCCAAGATGGGTGGATCTATCCTGACGCTAAGAAGAGATCGCTGATCAATGAGGTATGTCGTGTCATGGGTTGTCTGTAACTACCCTACAGGCTCAGAGTTGTGCCTCCCACCCTCACTGAACCGAGGCTCAGAGATGGGAAGCCATTGGCCTGAAGTCACCCTGCAGAGGCAGGGCCTGGGCAGAAAATTAGGACTCCTGCTGCCCAGTGCTGGCCCTGCCTATCTGTACAGTACATTTGGGGTAGAGATGGGTACTGCACGGCAGGGTTTCCTTCCATCTGTCCAAGAAATCACTCCTGTAGTTGTGGCTCTGACCTTAGAACTCATAAAAAGTAGGGCTCGGGGAAAGAAGCAGCTTTGAGGCATCTCTTACGGGGCTTCCCAACCCGAGCTGCAATCTAGGCCCTTTATAACACAGACCACACTAGCATGAATCTGCAGGATGGGCCTGGCATCTGCCTTTGGGAAAGGGTCTGCACTGATTCCTGCCCTTGCTCAGTTGCCCCCTGCCCCCGCCACACATCTTGGCCTGTGCCTCTTGTCACTCTCTCCAGGCCCAGCTCTCAGGGTGGAGCAGGTGCTGGAGGGGTTGCAGAGGTAGCAGAGCAGAGGCAACAGCTGAGGCACGCTGCACACAGTTACCTGCCCCTACCCCTATAGATCCCACCCTGGGATGAGGCTCAGTCTCTGGACCCAAAGGTGGGCGCCCGTGACCAGTCCCTGTGTCTGACCCACAGTTTGACTTGGTATGTGACGCGAAGACGAAGAAGGACACTGCACATATCGTGTTCATGGCAGGAATCCTGATAGGCTCTCTCATCTTCGGGCTCATAACTGACAAGTGAGTCCGCAGGAGTTTCTGCTGGCCCCCGGGCCATCCCACCTCCTCCTCATGGGCATTCAGGGTTGGAGTGTGTCAGGCTGAGGGAGGTGAGGATAAGGGTTCTCCAGGGACCCATGGATGGCTCAGGGCCTGGCCCAGGTATATCAGGCTGGGGCCAGCCAGGGAGATCTGTGCGCTTGGTGCAGCCTCCCTTTGACGCCTGTAGGATGGGCCGCTACCCTGCTATCCTGCTGTCACTGCTGGGGCTGATCATCTTCGGCTTTGGGACAGCCTTCGTGAACAGCTTTCACCTGTATTTGTTATTTCGCTTTGGCATCTCGCAGTCAGTGGTGGGCTACGCCATCAGCAGCATTTCTTTGGGTGAGACTGGGCCTCAATGGGGCAGGGCGGGGTGGCACAGGGACATGGTGGCATAGGCGGGTGACAAGGGGAAGTAGTGGCAGGGGGCGTGACATCATAGCCAGATGGCAAGGGGGCGTGGCATGGCTGCAAGAAGGCATGGCAGGTTTGTGGTGGCGTGGGCACCTGCTGGGAGCCCACAGGACACAGAGTCAGAGGCCTAATTGGACAGGCAGAAGGGGAAGGGATCGCCATTCCTGGCTGCCTGGAGATGCCAGAGAATCAGTACCCTGACTGCTCTTCCACCTTCATCTCCTTCCTAACTCCCTCATACCCCACACCTTCCACCGCACACTCCTTGCATACCCCCAAGCCCCATGAGTTACATTTATTGAGCCCTTAAGAAAGGCCATGCAAAAAAAAAAAAAAGAAGAAGGAGGAGGAGGAGAAGGAGGAGGAGGAGGAGAAGAAGGAAAGAAGAAAGGAGAAGAAAAGAAAAAAGGAGCAGGAGGAGGAGGTGGAGGAGGAGGAGAAGAAGAAAGAGAAGGAGAAGAAGAAGGAAGAACCAGATAGCTGCTAAGAAGAGCCAGGCAGCTGCTAAGCCCTTTATATGCATTGTCTCATTTCCTCCTGATGCGACTCTCTTCAGCAGGCAGTATTCTATTACTCCTTCAGCTGGGGAGGACTCTTGAGCCTCAGGGAAGTTAACCAACTTGCACAGGGTCACACAGCAACTAAGTGAAGAAGCTGGGACTTCAACCCAGGCCTATGAGATACTAAAGCACCCAGTGCAGCCTTATAGCTGCAGCTGCCTAGTTGCTTGGGGTTTCCTGGCAGGAGAACCTCTTCTCATTGGGATCCTTAGGCCTAGGTGGCCAAAGCACGAATACACTCAGAACAAAGACAAGGACAGTGGTTCCTTCCCTGACCATGTGTCGGGCCACATGTCTGGTATTGTGTCTTTTCTATGAGAGGCACATGGTCAGACAGGGGGTGTGCAGAGGGAGCAGCCAGGTGGAGTGGGAAGGAAGCTGTGTGTATGATTAGGAGACAAGGGTGTGCCCTGGCGGGAACAGAAGTGCTCTACCAGGCTCTGAGGGGCTGTCTCTGGACCCAGTGCAGGGACAAGCAGAAGAAGCTTTGCCTGATCTCAACTGTCCGGAGGAGGTGGGGATACCCAGGAAGGCTGAATGCAAGGGCAGCCCTGGGGACCCTGAAGTGACCATGGTTTTGTCCTCTTGGCTTCTGCACAGCCGCTGAGTGGTTAGTGGGCGAGCACCGGGCCCACGCCATTATCCTGGAACACTGCTTTTTCGCTGCTGGGGCCATGTTGCTGACGGGGATCGCCTACAGTCTTCCCCACTGGCGGCTGCTGTTTCTGGTGGGTGGGGTACTTGCGGTCCCCCTCATCTCCTATATCTGGTGAGCAAGCGAGTACAGGGCATGTACAGGGCTGGGTCTGATGGGCTGGGTGTCGATGAGAGTGGAGGGTCCTTGAAACTGTGGGAATGGGTGGGATTTCCCCTGGGAGAAAGTGCCTGTGGATGGGATGAGATAGGAAGGCACCAAGGGCAGAGCCTCTGAACCTCAGCATTAATCTCCTCCCTGACCCAGAGAAGACCCTCAAAGAGATATCAGAGAGGTGGTCAGAAAACCAGGAGGAAGAGTGTTGAAGGCCAAGGGTTTAAGGACAAGGGAAGGGTCATTGTTGAAGGCAAGAGGGGTGAGGCTGGGAAAGGGTCTGCCAGCCTTGGTGACCTTCTTGAGGTGGCTTCACTGTAGTGGCAGAGGGTTAAGGAGTGACTAGGAGCAGAAGAAATTCAGCCAGGAGATGACTTTCATAGAAAAAGGGAGAAAGGGATGATTTACACGGGCAACTAAGAGTCAGGGAAGAGTATCAGATGTTTTGAATGTAGGGGAGTCACAGGCAGGAACCTAAGAGATTGAAGCTGGGAGAGGACAACTGATGGGGCAAAACTTGGAGGAATAAGAGTTGAGAACAAAAGTGAGATGCCACAGCTAACCTAGGGCAGGTGGGGAAAAGAGAGGGACAAAAGAGAAGGCCGAGAGGGAGGTGAGAAGAAACTGAAAGAACTCACGTGTGAAGGGTTAGGCAGTTCTGCATGAAACAATGATCATATTTAATCTTGACATTATTATATTTAATCTTGACCCCTCTAGAAGAAGTATACTACTCCCATGTCATGGGAGGTGGGGAGGAGGGAGAACTGAAGCTTCTGAGGGTGGAAATAACTTGTCCAACATCACACAGCTAGAAAGTGGGGCACCTGGGATTTGAACTCAGGGACCGTCTCCAATGCCCCTGCATTTTAACTGTACCATGTGTAGTAAGGATGATAAAGGATGGGGTTAACAGCATGGGAGCTGGAAGCAGTGGCTCATGCCTGTAATCCCAACACTTTGGGAGGCTGAGGTGGGAGGAGTGCTTGAGGCTAGGAGTTTGAGACCAGCCTGGGCAACACAGCAAGACCCTGCCTCTATACAAACTTTTAAAATTAGCCAGACCTGGTGGCACACACTTGTAGTCCCAGCTACTTGGGTGGCTGAGGTGGAGGATCACTTGAGCCCAGGAGATCATGGCTGCAGTGAGTTATGATTGCATCACTGCACTCCAGCCTGGGCAGAAGAGTGAGACCTTGTTTCAAAAAAAAAAACAAAAAACATTCAGTCCAGTTCAAGTAAAAACTTTAATCTTACATCAGATCCACAGCTTTTTCCTGGCTCCTCGCTCAGGATAGTGGCCAAGGGGGATGAGGTCTGTTCTGACCTATTGTTCTTCCTCCTATCTCCTCGTTCTGATTTTCCAGGTTCTAGGCATGGAATAGGGACATCAGATAAAATAGACCAAAGAATGACCTGGCAGGGACTATTATAGTCTCTCAGGGTCCTCTGTAGGGTAGATATTCAAATGCCATCACTCTTGGGTCCATTCGTGGGTCTTCTGAGCACTGGAATTTCCTAACGATCCCAGTGCTCTGTTTGTGACCTCCCTCAGCTCCTGTCCCTGGCAGTTCACCCCACAGCCTCTTTCTGTAGGGACCTCCTCATCCCAGCACATGGGGTGCCTTTAAGACAGCAGGGTCCACTTGGCCAAAAAACCCCACTGTTCCCCAGCCTCCACCCTGTTGTGGTGGGCTGCTCCAGTCAACCTTCTGCCTTCATTATACCCAGATGAGAGATGGGCATCATTCTCTGGGTTTATGTAGGCCCTCAAACTCCAGGTGACACATATTAACTCTCCTATAATCTCTCTTACTGTCTGGAATACCAGCGCAAGCCCCCATGTTTCTGAATTAGCAAGTTCCAGCCAGAGTGGGATGGTAGATGTCTTTTTTAAAAGGCAGTCCCCTCATCTGTCTAAGGAGTTCTCTTTAAAGAACTCCCCTTTGCCTAGCTTGAATAGATGAGAGCTGTATGCGGAGTGAGGAGGAGAGATTCAAGACCCTGTCCCTTCCATGAACTGGATTTCCAGCCTCTATTGCTGTTAGCAATGAGCACCAGTGTGCTCTGGGTGCTCAAGGTCCCTCTTTTGACATAGTTATGTCCCCTAGGCTGTGGCACTCTGGGCCTGTGATAGGAGGGGCAGTACCAATGATTTCTAATGTATCTTTGGGGTTATTCTTTTAGTGTCTTCATGGATAGTTCTGCTGATTTGTACTGGCCTCCTTACCAAACAGTAGCTTGGCCACATCCTTGGTGTTTTCTCCCAAACACACTTTGTTATTCATGGAAAATGAATAAACAACATGGCTAACACGAGCATTTGACAAATCTTTAAGTTCTGCTTCCCTTTTAATTATAAATTCTAATTCGTTTCTGTCTTCTCACATTTTACTGTAAGTAGTCAAGAGAAGCCATACCGCACCCTCAGCACTTTGCTTAGAGACTTCTTCCACCAAATGTCCTATTTCATCACTTACGAGTTCCTTCTTTCACAAACACTAGGGCATGAATACAGTTCAGCCAAGTTCTTTGCCATTTTGTAGCAAGGATTGCCATTTCTCCAGTTTCTAATAGTTCCTCATTTGCATCTGAGACCTCATCAGAATATCTTTATTGTCCATATTTATGTCAACATTTTGTTCATGACATCTTCGGTGCGTTTGTTACCTCTCTCCCATCGTGTCCTCCCTCCCATTCTCTTTGTCCTTGAGAGTTGGTATCCTTTTTTTATTCCTGTTTTTTCAGTGGACATGAGGCCAATGCCCCATCTTTTTGAAGAAGTCTCAGTTTAATGACTTTCTTTAGGAGAGTTCCACAGCCTTAGAGTGGAAAATGATGACTGATTGCTGAACCCTGGTGGGAGAGAGGAGGAGCAGGGCAGGTATAAGGAATGAAGTTGTCTCTAGTGTCTTGAGTGTGTGTTTATGGCAACCAGCCAGAATCGTGGTCAGGGAGGGAGTGGTGGTGTAAGAAATCAGCAGGCATAGTTTTATCAAAAAGTTATACCACCTTAGGGGACTGAGGCTGTACCAGTCCCCAAGTACATAGCTCTGCCTCTGTGCTCTTGGGCAAGCCTTTACTTCTCGAGCCTGGGAGTAAAATGTGGATAATCATACTAGGTCCAGGTTTGGATGAAGATTAAACAAGACTATATATACAAGGGCACTGAGCACCATTTTTCACACATAAGTGCTTTTTATGGCAATCTGTGTGGATTCTGACAGCCTGAGAGGATGGGAAAAAACAGAGAGGACTTATTCTGAGGTCAAAGGCAATAGAGATGTGGCAGGGGAGAGACGGGACAGAGTAGAGACCTTCACTCACCCCTCCATTCACCCAGGCAGAGTGCTGGGCACTGGGGTCAGACCCAGGATCCTGCCTCCTCACACTCCTCAGGCTGTTGGGGAGATAGGGAACAGGAGAAATCCCAACTAAAAGCATGGGAGCTCTACAGGAGGCTGTGGCATGGAGGTCGGAGCCCTCAGTGTGCCTGAGCAGATAGGGATGGCCCCCCTAGATAGAAAAGGAGAGAGCTCTCGGTGATAACCGAGGGCAAATCAAGGAGGCTGGAGACAGAGGCAGCCAGTGGTCAGGGTGTCACTTAGCAGCAGTGGAGGCCATGTGAGGCTTAGACAGGGGAAGGGCTGACTGCCAGGGAGGAGCAGAGGGCAGCTCAAGGTCAGTGGTGGCCTTCAAGGCCCTGACATCTGAATCACCTCATGCTGGCACAGGATGGCCACAGATGGGGCCACGAGAGGGCCAGCAGGGGTCTCTGGGCATCATAGAACAATGAGATAAGAGAGGGGCTGGCCACGCAGGATTCTCCCGGAGTCCCCACGGTGGCTGATGACGAAAGGGAAGGTGAAGGAGGCCAAGCAGATGCTGTGCTACGCTGCAAGTGTGAACAAGACGACCATTCCTTCAAATCTGCTGGATGAGGTAAAGGGCTTCCAGCCAGGAGTGGGGCCGGAGCAATGGGCTGTAGAAGGGCCCCTTCCCTCCTCATCCCTTCAGGTCGGACATTGGTCCAGAGGGTGCCCCCAGTCCACTGCTTAAGGACAATGGTGACAGCAAAATTGAACCCTGCCAGGGAAGGCCAGACGCCAGCTGGCACTTTCAGGGACAGGCAGGCCTTGTGGGTGCTGTGGGGCTGGGGAGCAAGCTGGGGTCTTTGCTCTGCCTCTGACTGGTTCTGCTTGTTCTGTAGGTGCAGCTGCCCAGAAAGAAGATGACTCAGGCCTCTGTCCTGGACTTCTGTAAGAATAGGCAGCTCTGCAAGGTGATCTTGGTGATGAGCTGCGTGTGGTGAGTATCCAGGGCCCGCTGGCAGGGACTGCAAACAGGTGCGCAGGCTGGAAACTTTAGAGAGGATGGGAATGGTCAGGCTGCAGGGAAGGCAGCCCAAGGACACAGATCACAGGTCTCTGTGCTTATTTCTCTCCTCCGTTCCTACCCTGACCCTTGCTGCTCTGCCTCTGTCTTTATTCCCGGCTCTGTGTGTGTGTGTGTGTGTGTGTGTGTGTGTGTATGACGCGCACGTGCCTCCTGGCTTCATCCAGGTTTACCGTCAGTTACACCTATTTTACGTTGAGCCTGAGAATGAGAGAGCTGGGCGCGAGCGTCCACTTCAGACGTGTGGTCCCCAGCATCATGGAGGTGTCTGCCCGGCTGTGCTGCATCTTTCTCCTCCGGCAGATTGGGAGGAAGTGGAGCCTGGCTGCGACTCTCCTCCAAACCATCGTCTGGTGCTTGCTTCTCCTTTTCCTCCCTGAAGGTACAGCTCCTCCTTCCCCCGAGGGTTGCCCGCCGCCTTCCTGCTTCTCAAACCCTCCCCACTGCCGCCCGCCCTGGCCAGCCACCCAGACACCCTGGGAATCAGCCTCCTGCACCTATAGCCCACCCACCCCACAGAGGCCCCAGCACCTCCAGTCCCTGGAGCACTGCCCTTCCTGGGTGGGGTCTCCCAGACAGGGCGCCCACACTCTCTCGGAGGCCTGAGGAAGGAGGGTGTACTTGCCAGAGGACAGCAGGCAGCAGCCTTCTTCCACCAGATTCCAATCCACCTTAGAAGTAGGTCTAATGGTTACACGTGAATAGATGATGGCAAAAATATTCCTTCAACTGCTGCCCAGGCCCACCTGTCATCCGTAGCCCCTTTGACTGGGAAATGCCTGTTGTTCTCTGTAGCTGCACCAGGAATAACCTGCCCACTGAAAATTGAGTGTCATGTGGGGCTCAGCACTCAGGAACAGCTCTTGTGTGGAGGCCCCTCCTTTCCAGAGGGGCTGAGTGCTGCGTTCCTGCGGGCTTAGCACTAGAAAAGGAAACAGGAAGGGCTGGTGTTATCTTCAGAATCTCAAAGAGCCCTAAGCAGTGGATACCCACAGGTCCTAGAGCTGGAGCGATCTGTGCAGCACACGCGCTTAGAATGACTGCCTGCGGAGCCTTTTCACAGTCCAGCGAGGGCAGCGGAGGCTAGATCCGGGCCCGCTGGAGGGGTTCCCTCCCTTTCTCCAGGGCTGGAATTGTGTGTGTCTGGATTAGGACCTTTCCACTCCCAGATGCTGGCAGTGTAGATTGGGTAACACAAAATGTGAAAACAAATTTATTATTGAATGTTTATTGCCTGGTGGTTTTTAAAAAAGCGGGTCTATGCTGAGTCAAGCAGAAATATGTAAACTCAGAAGTGTGAGAGAAACTAGGAATGGACTCCCCAGTAGATAAAACTGGATCTCTGATTTCATCCCAGAGACAAGAAAAGCCAGGACTGGAATGGGAGTGAGGCTGGGGCAGGGTCCTGCAGAGGCTGACAGGCAGGCAGGCAGGGGCTGAAGCCCCCAGCTTCACCAGGTCTGAGGAATGGGCTTTCTCCAGTTTCCCCTTCATTGTGCCGGTCTAGCTAGCCAGAAAACATCCTGGAATGTTTGGGACCTATCCCAGCCATTCAGGCCCCAGGAACCAAACACCCCCTTGCTCTGAGCACCTTGCAGAGCCCTGGTGGTACAGCCCTGAGCAGGGGTTCCAACCCAGAGGACACAGGCCTGGCCCTGAGTGGATCCCCAGTGGGGTGAGGAAGCTGCAGTTGGGTGAGGAGGTGGAACAAAGACACAGCCTTGGAGGCAGAGATGGGGGTGTTGGGTGTAGCATGGGAGACAGTGGCTTGAGAGGCCATGGGGGTCCCAGGGGACCTCCCCACCCCTGCTGACCAACTCTGCACTGCACATGTCCTGCCTTCTGGACTGACTGGGCCTCTGACAGCTTGCCCCTCCTCTGATGGAATGCCTGAGCCTGCTGGCCAACTGGGCAGGTGGTGGGGAAGGCTGCTCAGATGCCTTCTAGGAGGGGTCAAGGGAGAGCTGATGGGCGGGCCTCCTTCACCTGCCCCAGGGGAGGATGGCCTCAGACTCAGGCCGCCACGTTGTCCAGCCACAGGGCGGAAATCCATGACGATCTTGGTGCTCACACTTGGAGAGTTCAGCCTGGCCGCCACTGTCACTGTGTTCTTCCTCTACACCGCCGAGCTCCTCCCCACTGTGCTCAGGTATGGGGTCTGGTGGGTGAGGGGGCCGAGGCGGCATGGGCAGGGACTGACAATGACAAGATTAATGCAGCAAGTAAGACAAGCATTCGCCTGGTGACAAGCACTGTGCTAAACAGTTTACATAAGTGATCTCATTTAAACACCCCAGAAAATCCCCCAAATGCCATCGCTAACCCTATTTCAGATGCAAGACCAGATAGATGAAGGCACTCGATTAAGGGCAGACAGAGCAAGCAGCAGAGCTGGGATTTGGACCCAGGCAGCCTGACTCCAGCCCCTGCCTTGCACTCACTGCCTGCAAAGTGTTTGGGCCACTCGGAGGCTCAGACCCTTCCCTGAGGTTGGTGATGGGAGCACTATCTTCCCGCCTGGCTGGCATCACTGCCTGCGTCCTCTCCCTGCACTTCCACACAATGCTGCATGGTTTCTGCCTCTCCCCCTCCTCATCTCCTTTGAAGAGGCCCAGAAGAAATTATTGTCTACTTGGAATCACACAGTGAGGACGGGACAGGGTGGAGACTGGAGGGTGTGGGGTTTCATGTAGCTGCTGGCCGGGCCCAGCCTCTGAACCCAACAGACCTCTCAGAGGAGCTCTCACCTCCACTTTCAGGGCGACAGGTCTGGGACTGGTGTTTCTGGCCTCGGCGACTGGAGCCATCTTGTCCTTGACAATCATCAACCAGACCCCCTCCTTCCTGCCCATCTTTCTGTGCTGTGTCTTAGCCATCGTGGCCTTTTCCCTCTCCTTCCTGCTACCGGAAACGCGAGACCAGCCCCTCTTCGACAGCCTGGACCACTCCCCACAGATGAGGTAGGTGTGGGAGCCCCCTGGGCTGTGCCAGCACGGGGCCTGGCTCTGAAGCCTTGGTACAGAGAGCATGTGGGGCGCTGTCCATCCCCGCTCCTCTGCCAGAGAGCCTGTGACCTGAAGGCTGCCATGTCTGCAGCAGTCTCCCTGCTCCTCTGGCTGCTGCTGCCTACCTGCTCCCACCCAGCCTCTGCCAGCTCCCATCTTGCTGCCCCTCCTGACCCGGGCTGGGCCGTGTCGTCTCCTTTCCTTGCCCCTGCCTGCCTGTCTGGATGGGGGCATTGCTTTTGGGCATACCCTCCAGGGGCACTCCTCCCAGAGGCTCCCTTTCCTCCCAGGGACAGAGGACTGGCTTGGAACCAACTCTGAGTACATCTCTTTTCCTGTCTGAACTCCTAGTTCCTCATAAAAATCCCAGTCTTGCTGAAGGACTCTGGCCTCTTGGCCCCAGCAGCCCAGGACCCCATTTGGGAACTGGGCTCCACCCAACACCTCCGTGGGCACTTCTGGCCTCTGATCGCCCAAATGTCCCCTGGAAAAGACTTGTCATGATTGGCAGAACCATCCCTTCTGGGATTTGGGCCAATGAACATGCTCTCCCTGGACCTGAGGGGACCCGAGCAGCAGTGTGGAGCAGAAGTTGCCGAGGCCCTAGAGTGTCCTCTGCTCTGTGCCACAGGAGTCACTGCCTCTGGCCTTTCTCTGCCCTCCTCCCTACCATCTTCCTTCCTCCTGCCCTCCCGCCCTGCTGTCATTCGACTCACACATGCTAGGCACTGTGCCAGGGCTTGACTGTCAAAGGTCAGAGGTCAGCACTCCCCACCCTTGAGAAAGCCATAGCTTATGTGAAGACAGATAATGCAAACAGCTACTGCTAGCGGATTCTGACAGTTGGATGTACAGGATCTATAGGAACCTAACAAGGGAAGAATGTTCATTTGGGGAGTCGGGGAAAATGTCACAGTGACATCTGAGTAGGGCTTTGAAGGATGGATAGAAACTTGCCCCACCGTAGAGAGAGGAAGTTCAGTGCCGCACAGGGAGAGCAGATAGTGGTTATGGGCACAGGTTCCCTGTGCCACAACCTAGTGTGTGCGTGGAGAAGTTACCTCATACCTCTGAGACTCAGTTTCTTCATTTGCAAAGTGGAATGAGAACAGAGTAATAACAATAGCTAAGATGTATTGAGCATTTGCTATGTGTTAGACCCTGTTCTATACATACTTTATCTCTATCCTCAAAACAATCAAATGCAAGGTAGGTCCTATCACTATTCCCATTTTACAGATAAGAACATTGGGGCACAGAGAAGTAAGGCCATGTAGCCCAGTCATCCCCCATGGGTTTGTTTTGAGAGGATTAAACCTACATAAAGCAGCTGGCACAGGGTCTGGCATGTGGCAAGTGCTCAGTAAATGCTAGCAGTGAAGATGGTGGACCAACTTCAAAGACACAGGAAAGAGAAGGGTCTCGCGAGGGTTGGAAGCTGGAGCAGGCCTGATTCTGGAGGCTCCTGGCAAAGCTCGACTGGGGACCTGCCGGAGTGAGAAAGGCTCACCTCTTGGGAACGCAGGGTTGGGTGCTGCTGAAGGCACAAGCCGCTGCTTTTCTCAGCTTTTGGAAAGATGTGGCCCTGGACTTATCCTCTGATGGCTCTTTCAGGAATAAGGTCAAGGACATGACGCCTGAGGATACGTCATCTGACGATATGTCATCTGATGATATATCTGAAGAAGCGGCCAAGAACGTCATTCTCAATGCCCAGATCCTGAGATTAGTCCCATACCCTGTCTCCAAACCTGCCTAGGATCAATAAAGAGGAAGCAAACATCCAGGCTCCCCGAGGGCCAGGCCCCCAGACCATCTTGGGTTGGAATTGAGTGGCCAAGTATGGGGTCGTGGATTCCAGGCCACAGATTCCAGGCCCAGTTCAGTCTGTGGGGCAGGATCAGTCCTGCTCCCGGACCAGCACTTGACATTAAAAAAAAATGGCCCCCCTTCTGCGGGAGCTCTGCTGTGATTCATTCCAATAAAGGTACAATGTTGGTCTTGAGATGGCTGGGTCAAAGTTGGCCATGTGTGGAGAGTGCAGAGGCCCTTGGCCTGGAGGAGGATGGGTCAGACAGACTCCTTAGTGTCTTTGTCTAATCACTCAGGGACAGTAAGGAGCTCTCTGGATGGGGGCAGGGGAGTGGGGAGGGCAATGTCAATGAGGGCCAGAGGTGTAGCGAGGGCAAGACTGTGTCTGCACACCAACCACACCTGCTAGCCCACGCATCCGCTAGCATGGCGGGTTTCCACCTGAAGCACAGGCTGAGGACAGATTTCAAAGCTCCATTTTATGCACTAGTCAGGGCAGGGATCCAATGTAAAGGAACAATGAGAACTTCTCTCATTTGTCCCATTGTACAGGGCTTTCTCACCATCTTTTCACTGATGCTACAAATAAGCATGGCCTTGGGAATTACCCAAATCAGTCCACATCCCTGGGGATGCTTTCCTGATGGCTCCATCCTAGCTGACCTCTGGCCTCCACCACTCTGAGGATAAACCCCCATACCCCAGCTCACATCCTAACTGCCCTGCAGGTGATTCTGCCCTTCCCAGCTGGCATGGGGGCTCTGCCAGGCAGGGCCCAGGACTCCTCAACCAGACTGTGAAGTCCTTGGGTCAGGCCCACAGCACTACCTCCTCTCTCCCTGGGAGAGGAGGAGTCGGGGCCTGTCTTACCTCCTCCATGCTTGCCTAGTTTATTGGAAGATCATGGGCTTGCAGAGAATAGCTCTGGTTCGACTCCTTGTTGCCTCTGAGGGAGGAAGACAGATAGGCATGTCAGTTCTCATGGAGCCAGGGCAGCAAGGCCATGGATCTCCCGGGCAGGTTGGAGTCCAGTGAAGCAGGGAGTGGCCTCCAGCATTCCTGGCACTCTGGCCCGGCACACTGCTTTGCGCATGTGCTCCCAAGCTTTGGGGCACCAAGAAGCTGGTGTCCGTGCCTTTCCCTTTCAGTGTCATTTTCTGTGCCTACTGTTCTTAACTGGGTTTCCTCGTATGGTCTCCAAAGTGGGGTTTGAAGGGCCTGGAAAGGGATCTCGTGAAGTATCTGTCCATAGGACCACAGGATGGAGAAGTCTGTGTTGCTCTTTCTGGCAGAGGCCTGTGTGTGAGCTGTGATGCCAACATATTAGCCTTATTTAAACACCTCTCCTCAAGTTACTTTGCCAGGAATCACCTAGTGCCATAGGGGACAGGAGGAAGACAGGGGTCAGGACGGAAAACTGATGGGGCAGTGTGGGTGTGAAGGAGCTGGTTGTACAGGCTGTGGCTGTCAGCAAGACCAACTGCACTCCTACACGCTTTCAATTTTTCTTAGGTGGCCAAGGCTTGTCAGTCAGTTCCAGATAGGACCTATCTAGTTGTTTACTGAATCAATGGCTATTATTATTATTATTATTTTGAGACAGAGCCTCTCTCTGTTCCCCAGGCTGGAATGCAGTGACTGGATCTTGGCTCACTGCAAGCTCCACCTCCTGGGTTCACACCATTCTCCTGCCTCAGCCTCCCAAGTAGCTGGGACCACAGGCGCCCACCACCACGCCCAGCTAATTTTTTGTATTTTTAGTAGAGATGGGGTTTCACCGTGTTAGCCAGGATGGTCTCAATCGCCTGACTTTGTAATCTACTCATCTCAGCCTCCCAAAGTGCTGGGATTACAGGCGTGAGCCACCGCACCCAGCCTGGCTAATATTATTTAGAGTTTGACATTACGTATTTTATTGGACTAGACCCATGCTGTCCCATACAGCAGCCACTAACCAGACGTAGGTATTGAGGGCTTAAAATGTGCCTAGTCTGGGAGGCCAAGGTGGGCAGATCACCTGAAGTTGGGAGCTCGAGACCAGCCTGGCCAACATGGTGAAACCCCCTCTCTACTAAAAATACAAGAATTAGCCAGGCGTGGTGGGCGCCTGTAGTCCCAGCTACTCGGGAGGCTGAGGCAGCAGAATCACTTGAACCCTGGAGGCGGAGCTTGAGGTGAGCCGAGATCGTGCCATTGCACTCCAGCCTTGAGCGAGGCTCTGTCTCAAAACAAACAAACAACAACAACAAATGTTGCTAGTCTGATTTGAGAGGTGCTGTAACTGTGAAAAACACACGGGATTTCAAAGGCTTAGTACAATATAAAACATAAAACATCTCAGTATTTTTCAATATATCTCAATAGTATAGATCATATGTAAAAATGGCAGCATTTTGGATATATTGAGCAAATAAAACATTAAAATTAATTTCACCTATTCTTATTTATCTATTTTAATTTTACTTTAAGTTCTGGGATACATGTGCCGAAGGTGCAGGCTTGTTACATAGGTATACATGTGCCATGGTGGTTTGCTGCACCCATCAACCCGTCATGTAGGTTTTAAGCCCCACATGCATTAGGTATTTGTCCTAATGCTCTCCTTCCTCTTTCCTCCCATCCCCTGACTGGCCCCAGTGTGTGATGTTCCCCTTTCTTTGTCTATGTGTTCTCATTGTTCAACTCCCACTTATGAATGAATACATTATTATTATTATTATTTTGATAATATGTGGTGTTTGGTTTTCTGTTCCTTGTGTTAGTTTGCAAGGATGATGGTCTCCAGCTTCATCCATTTCCCTGCAAACGACATGAACTAATTCTTTTTTATGACTGCATAGTATTCCATGTTGTATATGAACTGCACCTATTCTTAAAAATGTTTTGAAATGTGACTACCAAAAATTTTAAAACTATACATGACTTGCTTCTGTATCTCACATTATAGTTCTATTACATAGTACTAGACTAGAACATTCCTTTTGTTGGTCTCACACATCATTCTTATCACACAGGTATCTTGGTGTAATGACTAAAATTAAATGCCAAAATTGTATGAAATTGTCTGCTGTCAATAAATTCTCTTTCTCACACATGTGATATTTTTATGATACAATAGACAATGTCAACATGTCGGCAGGGGCCTCCCTGTGTGCAGAAAGAGAGAGAGAGAGGTCAGTAATCTTGCAGCTTGTGATGGTACCCGTGGATGCCTGTGAACTGTGAATTCTGGAGCTCTAATTTCCTGGTCACTGACTACTTGCCTTTGTGGAATTCTCACCTGCTTCTTTTAGCTGTTTGTATATTTCTACCATTGTTCAAGCACTGGCCTAAATGTGGCAGCAGCCTCTTGTCCTAGGTTATCCCCTTTCATCCCCATCCTTGACATGGGATGCTGCTGACCATTTACCAAAGGCCTTGAGGTCATGTTGAGGGGATGCCTGGGGTGAGTGTGAAGCAGCTCGGTACAGGATGAGGCCCCCAGACCATGAGTAGAAAACTTAGCCCCCAATGAATGCAAGCCCCAAGCCCAGAAACAAACAGTTGTGAATCCTGTAAGGCCTTGGCAGAAGCAAACACTAAAGCAATCCACAACAAGGTTGCTACAGCAACTCAAGACTTACAGGGCTTCTAAGGAAGATGAATCTCAATGAAAATGAACTTGTAAGTAAAAATTACTGAGCACATGAAGAAATAAAATGGCATAAAAACAGAAGGAATACACTGGAGGGTTTGCCATCAATGAACTAGGGGTGATAGTGCTGTTTCTGAAAAGACTTTGTTTAAAATGTTCAGAGATAAAGTCACATAACTCCTAAGACACGAACTTGGAAAAAGACACCCATAAATCCTAGAAATGAACACCATAGTGCCTGAATTAAAGAACACAATAGAGAAGTAAAATCAGAATAAGATACTGCCCAAGAGGGAGTGAGTTACTCGATTCTTTTATTATTAAATATAACTCCCCTGTCTCTATTAATGCTTTTTACTGTAAGTTTTATTTCACCTGACATTCTTAAAGTAATCTTTTAAACTTTTTCATTGAAGAATAACACATGTAGAAGTGCATAAATCATTTAATGTGATTTTGTTTATTTGTTTTTAGAGACAGGGTCTCGCTCTCTTTCCCAAGCCGAAATACAGTGGTGCAATCATAGCTCACTGCATCCTCGATTTCCTGGGCTCAAGTGATCCTCCTGCCTCAGCCTCCCAAAGTGCTGAGATTACAGGTGTGAGCCACCATGCCCAGCCCTGTTTTTTTGAATATCACAAAGCACATACTGGGTACCCATTGCCCTTATCAAGAAACAAAAAATTATCAGCATCCCAAAGCTCCCTCCTTCCTCTCTCAGTCACCATCTCCCCTTCCTTCAAGGTAATTACTCATTTCTAACAATATAGGTTACTTTTACTGGTTTTTGAACTTTATAAGAGCAGTCACAGTTTGAACTCTTGCTTCTTTCACTCAACTCTGAGATTCATCCATCATAGCTCACTGCAGCCTCAAACTCCTGGGCTCAAACAATCCTCCTGCTTCAGGCTCTAGAGTAGCTGGGGCTGCAGGCACATGCCACCATATCTGGTTAATTAAAAAAAAAAATTGGAGGCTGGGCACAGTGGTTCACGCCTGTAATCCCAGCACTTTGGGAGGCTGAGGTGGCTGGATCACTTGAGGTCAGCAGTTCAAGACCAGCTTGGCCAACATGGAGAAACCCCATCTCTACTAAACATACAAAAATTAGCCTGGCATGGTGATGCATGCCTGTAATCCCAGCTATCTGGGAGGCTGAGGTGAGAGGATGGCTTGAACCTGGGAGGCAGAGGTTGCAGTGAGCCGAGATGGTGCCACTACACCCCAGCCTGGGCGTCAGAGTGAAACTCCATCTCAAATTTTTTTTTTTTTTAAGAGACAAGATCTTGCTATGTCACCCTAGCTGGTCTTGAACTCCTGATCTCAAGTGATCTGGCCACTTCCATCTCCCAAGCAGCTGAGGTTACAGGTGCAAGCCACCATGCCCAGCAAGTCGTTTATTTTTATGCTATGTTCTGTTGTATGAATGGGCCACAGGTTATTCATCCATATCCAAAGTGATAAACCTTTGGTGCTTTCCAAATGGTGAAAATGTACTATGATGAATAATGCCTTTATGAACCTTCTTGTAACTGTATCCTGGAGGACAGACACCCTGG